GAGAGAGAGAGAGAGAGAGAGAGAGAGAGAGAGAGAGAGAGAGAGAGAGAGAGAGATATGATATTTCACCAGGGAAACTATGTGAATGCCCAATAAGGGCATGAAAAGATGCCCAATATTATTAGTCATTAGGGAATGCAAATTAAAGCCCTAATAAGAGATCACTAATACCCACTCAAAGGGCTGTTATCAAAAAGACAGACCAAGTGTTATTGAGGTGTAGAGAAACTGGAACCCTTATACATTACTGATGGAAATGTAAATGGTATAGCCACTTTGGAAAAATCTGACAATTTTCTTTAAAATTTTGCACAAACTTTCTATGTGACCCAGCAATTCTATTCTCAGGAATGTACTCAAAAGAAATGAAAACATGTATCTACACAAAGTAATCTAATTTAATTATCCATTAAAACCCCAAACTGGAAAGTCCAGAGGTCCTTTAAATGGTGAATAGATTAACACTATTTATATCCAAACAGTGGAATACTCTTCAGAAATAAAAATTTGCTAAGGGAAGGAATCTAACTACAAAAGGTACATATTCTATGATTCCATTTATGTGAAATGTTCAGAGAAGACATGATAGAGGCTGAAAATATACCACTGGTAGCCTAGTGCTGGGGATGGGAGTCGGAATTAACTGTAGATGGCATGAGGAAATTTTTTGGGTTATAAAGTGTCCTAAACTGGATCATAATCATGGTTGATCAATTCTGAATTTACTAAAAATAGTTGAATTATATACTCTCAACAGATGAATTTTGTATTATATAGATTGTCCCTCAGTGAAGTTATTAAAACAAACATTTGAGGATACATGAATGTTTCAAGACATATTCTTCCAGCATGCCCAGGGTCCTTATATAATTGTATATGATTACTTTTATTCTCTAATATTAACAGTACTGTTGTGTATGACATTATTAACCTATTTTATATCTGATTCTTATTTCTGAGAAAATTAAAGCCATTCATTTATTGCATTGAATTATTTCATTTGAGCCAGGGTAATTTTTTAAAAAAAAAGTTATTTAGGGATACAAATTACCTTATTGAGACTTTAGTTACAGTTTATTCCCAGTGCAYTATAGTTAGGAATTGAAAAGACTTATTGTGTCTCCCAAACTTCTGAATCATGAAGGAAGTCACTGTCTGAGAGTGGAGTGCAATATTTAATTAGTGTCATTACTTTGGGAGTAGGAAATTGATCCCATCATACTATTTGAAGATGAGGGGAACATTACTCAGGGTCATGTTTCAAAACAGTTGAAAAGCTATAAGCTCAGTTCAGATATCCCACAGCCCTTCAGCTGAGGTGGTGTAGGACATAGCTCCCTTTCAAGAAAACATAGGCAGTTAGCTACATCAAGTCTATTTGTCACTGAGGTTGAATTTAGAAGTTCTCTCCTTTCATATATTTTATTTTCCTCTGCTCTACTAGTTGGATTCCTATTACTCACTAAATCCTTCTCTTTTAGCTCTTGCAGTTCAACCCTCTGGAACGTCTGGGTGCTGGTGTTGCTGGTGTTGAAGATATCAAATCGCATCCATTTTTTACCCCTGTGGATTGGGCAGAAGTGATGAGATGAACACATGCAGGATGTTTTTCACACATTGTGATCTTCTCTGTACTAGGCATCTCCAGCACAAAAGCAGTCTCGYTCATTTATGGAGCACCAGAGCATTGGATAAAGACCTTTATTAGGAAATCAGGGGAAGAGCCGGGGTAAAAGTGATTCATTTACAGTTACCACCTGGACAAGATATTAGCTAATTTTGTCAGTGGGTATTATATACATGCCTTTAACCAAGGTATGAATTAATTTAATCTACATTTAGGATTGCAGTGCATTGCAAACCCAACTGAAATAGGAATGTCCTTCAAGAAGTTCCTCTGATTCAAAGCTCTACATGTAGGATTTTACTTGAAAGAAGTACCTTTACATGGCAGCTAAGAATGCCTTCTGCTAACCAGATTGGTTTCTAAGACCCAATTAATATTTACTGAATAATACACTAAAAGTGCTTCATGAACAGTGTCATCTGTGGGCTTAAAAATAGGAAAAAAATTATATATGTGGAATGTCTGAAAGGGAGCCTGTACCATAATGCTATATAGTTAATGCATTTGACTGTGGTCCCAGATTATTTCTGTGAGGAGAAGACACTTCATGTTGTGAGCTTTGAACTTTGTTGGTTAATACTGCTCATTAGAGAGGGTTCAGATAAACACTCACTTCTCTCTCAACCTCATCTTCCCCTGTCTTCCCATTCCTGCACCTTTTGCTTATTCTCTCATATTCTGTTCTTCCTACTCTTTTTAACACATGTGCAACAAAAAAGGGAAGGGAGTATTTATTCCTCAAATTGTGTCAACATAATAAGAACTAAGAAATCATGATATAAAATAAATGTGATAAAAATGTAGATGTGTCCTTTATTTAATAACTTAAGATTTAAAGAAAAAACAACAACAATTTTTTCCCTGTTCCTTTCCTTTTGGAATGTTATCAGTTTCTGCTGCTTGACTCCGTTTTACTTTTTAGGTTGGTATACTATGAACCAAAGGGTCTTGTCTAAATGGAATTAACGTCAATCCTGTTTTATTACTTAAAGTGATAAGATTTTTATATTTGAATTCCTGATCTGCTTGACATAATGTAGAAAGAATATTAGCATTAACACATCTCCAATCATTTTTATTTTTGTATTTGTAATTTCTTTATGTTGCTAAGATAGCTCCTRTAGTCATGCACTGTTTACAAAAATTCATACATATTAATGTGTTTTTTAAACTTTATCAAAAGAAGAAAGAATAAGGCACTATTTCTAAGATAGAAGCCACCAGAAATAATTAAAATTTTCTTCTTCTTCTTCTTTTTTTCTTTTTCTTTTTTTGCAATGCTGGGAATCAAAACCAGGATCTCACACATGCTAGGAAGGCATTTTACCATTGAGCTATATCCCCAGCCCCTGAAATTCTGTTTTGTTTTAATCTTTATAATTTTGAGATCTGTGTGAGAGCCCAGTACTCCTCCAAGAGCATCTGCACAGCATCCATCTGCCATCAACCAGGTCCTCCCATCAAATTAAATGGAAGCAGAAAATGCTTTAATGAAACAAAGGAAATGAGCAAGCACTTTTTCTTTTTCTATTATCCTACTCCTCTTTTTCCTTTTTGGTCCCCTTATAACCTGAATCCCAGCTGAAGGGCTGCAACAATACCAGGTTGGGGAGCAGGTCACCAGGATCATAGCTCACTCAAGATGACATCACTCCCTGGAACTGGATTTCAACTCACCAGTCCCCTGGCCTCATAACAGGAACTCATGCAGGTGAGACCCAAGAGTGACTTCCTGTGTAAGACTAGTAGGAAATGTGCATGTACTTAGAGCTGGCTATTACAGAACTTCCTTCCAGAAGTGCCCTATGACATGAAAGTAGGACTTCACATTGAGGTGAAGATCCCTGCCCTACCATAGGATCTGGGACCCTGAATTCAAAGTACAGTTATGTCCACAGATGGTTGCTGTGTCAATCTGCTGATACATCCATTGCTACAATTTCTCCCCCTCTTTTCTCTCTGTATGTTTGATTGGAGCTTCATCATACTGGACACGAATCATTTTAGTAGTGAGCACAGGATGAATGACTATGGAATGAAAGCCAAGCTTTTTTTAAAATTTGATGATATATACATATTTTAAGCTGTAATGGCTTCTGTTTTTTTTTTGTTGTTGTTGTTGTTTATGTGTTTTATTTGCTTGTGCAGGGGAGTGGAATATGGGTCAAAATCATGACAGAAATTACTATTTAGTATTTCTCATCTGATTTTTTATTAAAATAATGGATGTAATAACATCTATTTATGTTTTTAATTGTATGATTCAGTAGTAGCATTAAACACATTCACATTTTTTTTCTTTTGTTACTGGTTGAACCCAGTTCCCAAACCACTTAACCACTGAGTAGTATCCCCAGTCCTTTTTTATATTTTGTTTAGAGACAGGGTCGTGTTGAGTTCTTAGAGCCTTGCTAAGTTGCTAAGGCTGGTTTCTCACTACACCTGGGCACCTGGCTACTTTCACATTTTTATGCAAACATCACAACTATATTTACAGAACTTTTTTTAATCATCCCAAACTGAAACTCTGTGTCCACTACACCATAACTTCCCATTCTCCTTCTCTCCAGCTCCTAGTAACCACCCTTCTTCTGTTTCTTTGAATTTGACTATTCTAGGTCCTTCCTGTAAGTGGAATCATAACACTTATTCTTTGTATACAATTTTCAAAGTTTATTCATTCTGTAACCTGTAACAGAATTTTCTTCCTTTTTAAGCTTGAATCATACTCTGTTGTATGTATATACCATGTTTTGTTTAGCCATTTGTCTGTTAGTGGATCTTTGGGTTGTTTTCACCTTTGGGCTCTTGTGAATAATGCTGCTATGAACATGGATTTGCAAATGTTTGTTTGAGTCTCTGCTCTCTCATTTGATTTTATATTTTTACATGAAATTACCAGTGTCACTGACTGTTATTTCACTATATTCTTCATAGAAGAGCTTTCCCAGACAGGTAGGCAATTACCATTATGGTACAGTGACACTTATTTTAAGATGTGATGTGAAAATCTACCATTTCTATTTCACAGGTGGGTAAGTTAAGCTTCCTAAGAGTAAAAACACCATTATGTTAGCAGTTTGCTTTAACTGTGACAGGAGTTAATATTATTGAAGACAACAGTCTCTTTAACTTATTTTTTTGCAGTAACAATTCTTTTTGAAAGTTTCATTTTATTTTTGATATCTAATCATTATATATACTGATGGGGTACGATGTGATGTATTGTGGAATGATCAGATTATTAATGAACATCCATCACCTCACAATTATTTCTTTGTGGTGAGCACATTTTAAATATATTCTTAGTGGTTTTGAAATATTCATTGTTATTAACTATATTCACCATGCTGTGCTATAGATGAACATATTCCTTCTGTTTAGCTGAAACTTTGTGCCTTTGTCCAGTGTCTCCCCTTGGCCTGTCCAGCCTCTCCTTCTGGTAACCAACACTCTGCTTTCTACTTCTATGAATTAATTGAACCCTTGATAATATATTCAAACCTTTGTTTTAAACAGCTATGATTCCTGTTGTGTTTTTACTCTCAGACTTTTCCTATCCTGTTTCAGAGTCAGTGGGAACCAAGATTGAGTTTTGCTTTCATGCAGTGCAGGTAATAAAGAATATAAAATTTATAGATAACACTCACGTCTGGCAAGTAAAGTAACACTGTGTTAGTCCCCATACGTAGTATGCCTTGGTTCAGTTCACTTGCTCAGATGTTAGGAATACAGAGAGAAGTCTGACCGAAAGGCTTTTTGCCTCCCAAGGGGCCCTTATGGCATCTTCATTAGACTTACTTGGGAATTACTTCATAGTGAGGCCAAAGACTAAGACTGATCATGTTTTTTCCTTAGAGGAGTTGATTTAACCTTTGGTATATCTAAATGTGATGGGTAATGGAGCCTGGTATTTCAAGCTCTTTCTTGGAGGATTATGGAATATAGAGAGTTATAGGATTATGGAAATAGAGAGTTCTCTAGTGGTGGCCTGGTCATGTCTCTGTGACTAATTAGCCTTATAACCTTATTCAAATCACACTATATTCTGGACCTGTTCTCTCACCTGTAGAATAAAAGGGTAGGTGAGTTCTGAGCTCTACAAGTATCTGATGGAATTTCTATTTTTCAGAGTGAACTAATACTATAAACCAACATTGTAGAAAGACAAGGTTAATGAAAATCTTAAATTGGTACTTAACAGTTTTCTTATAATTATTTTTCTAGTAATATCAGAGGCTTGGGCTATTGCCATAAATCTGCTCAGTAGCATAGCCCTTGGGGGTTATGTGGCTATAAAAATTATAAATAGGGTGGCATTTTAGGAGGTTATTTCTCCGTCAGCTCTACACTGGGAAAGGAGAGTTGAAGGTCCAGATAGGAGTACATGAGGGTGAAAGGAGGCCAGGGCACACCTACATTTGCTCACTTCTTGGACCTTTCTCAATAACTGTGGTGGTATTTCTACCCCCGTTGCCCTCATCTATCATATTTTATGTGTTTATTTGACTCAGTCCTTTGGCAGGCATATTCAGAGTACAAAATTGATACTTTCTGTTGCTATTTAATGCAGGACATTAACCTCTACCAGTCTAGGTAATTTGGAGTTTTGAGTATTTGATGTCTACTCAGCTCATTTGAAGGATTTCATCTTAAGCCCTCATATTAAAGGGTTACTGAATGGCAAAAGCCGTCAAGTCAGCTCTTTATAAATAAAGTTGTAAACATAACAGCAGGAAGGAAGTGGGAAGCAGAGTCCTTCAGGTTTTTGTGATTTGGCATCACTTATTCTCTCAAAAACAGTAAATAGGAAACCAGAGAACAAGCTTCCTTTTTGGTAAGATTTCCAATTGGGTGATATGTAGTCAAATGGTATGACCTTACCTTTGGGTTCCTGTCATATGACTTCTTCCCTTAATGGAGGAATCTCATCTAAAGGAGAAGTAGAGGCAGAGAAAATTTGCAGAGGTATAAGAGAGAAAGTCACTTGAGTGAGGCGGTTCAGGGAAATGGAGCGGAACATGTGTCCCATGCTTTGGCCTAAGTGTCTGGATCAAGAAAATGCCTTCTTTGTTCAGCTGGTTTAAAGTTTAAAGTTCCTTTTTCAGGAAGAGGTAGGCAGAGACTGAAACTATTTCCAGGAGCCCAGGAAGAGATGGACGGCCTGCCTTTGGAAAGGATGCTGGTCTATAGTCAGTTCTGTCTCCTTGCTGAGGGCAGCTGTCGAGACTGGTCGTGAAAGGAGAGGCCAGAGAGTGTCTGAAGGAGGGTACTGTAGTTTCTTTGGGGCGGGAATGTTACTGAATGTGGCAAATAAGAACGACAAATGAACCAGCTTTGGGGAACACTTAGAATTGCTGGTGTCCTGTTCTTCTAAATCTCAAAATTTTTGCATATCACAAAGTTAACTCAGCCTGGCCTGGAGGCACATGCCTATAATCTGAGAGACTCAGGAGGCTGAGGCAAGAGCATCACAAGTTCAAGGTCAGCCTCAACAAGTTAGTGAAACCCTTTCTCAAAATAAAAAATAAAAAGGATTGGGTCAGAGGTAGAGCACCTCTGAGTTTAATTTCTAGTACTGGGGGGAAAAAAGTTAACTCTTGTAGGAATATTGATCAAATTCTTCTAAAGCTTAGGTATTTAGTAGTATTAAGAATTCAGAAGGCAGAAGTTTGATCACCCCACCCAAAGAGTATCAACAGGGACAGTGAAGGGATWTGAGCTCCTTTTAGACCTGTAATGACCAAAATGTGATATTGTCCTGGTCACATAGGGGATGTATATAAAAAAAAGGAGGT